ATAAAATAAAGTTCCATTTAAAATGAGAAGTTAATCATTTAATCATCATATTGAATCAACATCATTTGATATTAATTTTAAGGAATTTCTTCCTTAAAATATAGACAATACTAATGTTTAAATTGAGAAAACTCAATATTATAATGAATTTGATATTTAAAAAAGAAGTTAAGAAATACTCAATAAATCAAACAATAATAATAAAGAAAATCTTAAAATATAATGCCTTAATCTTTTACCACCAACTAAAATGACTTAGCCTAAAATATAATAAAATACTTAGTATAACTAATCAAAGATAAATACAACTCCAGTAAAAATCATATCTAAGAAATCCCAGCCTAATTCACAACTTAATAATTTTCAAAATTAACATCCTTTCATTTATCAATAGTTATATTTACAGTAACCCAATTAATAATATGTGAAGTATTAAATTAATAAGATAATAGAGTAATATAAAATTATGAATCTTCCAATGGACCAATTATTTAATATAGATATTCTCAACATAATAATTCTAGATCTTCATCATTTCATAACTTAGAGAACTATTAAATTGAAAAAATATGAAATTATTAAAATTAATAAATCACTATCATTTTATTTCAGAAGTGTTCCATGGTTCAATATCATCAAAATTATCATCATAAGTCTGAATTCTATCACTTCTTATAATTTAAACTTCATTTGATGTTCTAACTATATTGATCTTATCTAATTTTTTTATTGATATTTATTTCATTTATTCTTAAAGTTTTCGAGGTGAATTAAATGAGGATTTATTTTGTTGATGTACTTTTTATGGTATTTTATATTCAGATTTATTTTAATGATGATGTTTCTATTGAATTTTTATTGTATCCTTTATTTGCCGATAAGTGTTAATTTTCTGGCCATTAATATTATGCATAGTGAATGATGGCTACTATTTTTATTTGGCTTAAATTTCAATTTTATTTTCTAGTAATGTTTATAGATAAGTCTAATAAGCAGTTGGTTTAGGAGTTGGAAACTTTTTAAAATGATCAAAAAATGATGCTTAAGTAGTTTAAATAAATTTCCTTGGCGAATGATAAGTATACTTATTTTATTTTAATATTGGAGGAGTTTCAGTTTTCAATCTTTAAGAATATTAGGGTTATTCATAATTTTTAATAATTCGCTTGTTGTATTGATAGCAATAATTATTTCTTAATTAAAGGAACTTATCATTCATTTTAAATAATAAATGTAAGCAAAAATCAGTTCAATTAGTACTAGATACTTAATTTATATAATAGTTTTATGCATTCATATAAATATCATAAAATTGTAGGGAATTTTTTATAGAGTTTAAATCTGAAAATGAGATTCCAAAAAGATTATTAGTCATTATGAAATAAGTTTATTCACTTTATGAATTAAATAATGGATACAATCATATAAAAATACATTAAAGCAGAAATAGAACTGGATGCAAAAGAAATAAAAATTGAATTCTTTATTCTTTTTAACAATATCTCCCAATCAGTCTTTGAGATTTAAGAGAATATATAATAAATAATTATTAGATTCATTTGATAGAGTAAGATAACAATAAAAAGAATATTATTATCTTATTAGAGATTAATATGAAATGGAGTTCCTAAAAAGATTTTGATAAACTTTAAAGATATCTTAAGAATTCTTGAGGGTATAAAAATAGAATAGAAATTTTAAAAGATGAATCTGAGAAATAGTAGTTAGAATTGGAATTATAATAGTAAAAATGAAAATTGAGTTATTGATTATATTTTGATTATTATTATTAACAGATGGCAGTAAATGATGAAAGATATGTGTTCATAGTTGAATGGTTTGACACTAGTGCATCTTTAATAAGGAGTTATAACCTCATATACTTTATGTCAGATAAGACTATCGAAATGGTATAATTTTAATTAAGGAATCTAGTTTGATTTGAAAAATAAAAGAATATTTTTGAAAAGATGTGAATACCCATCAATATAATTGAAAGATTTATATGTTGGATCAATTGTAACAGTTTATTCAAGATAATTAAAAATAGTGGATTATGCAGATGTATTTACTAGATCTAAATTTGAAGTATAAAGAGGAAAGTAAATAAATTATATAAATGTTAGAACATTTGGTATGATTAAACCAGATGCATATACACATATTGGTAAGATAATTACTGCAGTTGAAAGAAACGGTTTCGTAATTGGTAATTTGAAAATGACAAGAATGTAAATAGCAGATGCTTAGTAATTCTACGCAGAACATAGAGTAAATAATAAATCAATTTGAATAGGGAAAACCTTTTTTTGATGAACTTACATAATTTATCTGCAGTGATTTTATAGTAGGTTTGGAATTGATAGCCGATAATAGTGTTAAAAAATGGAGAGATTTGATTGGACCAACTAAATGTTAGGTTGCTAGAGTTGAAGCACCAAATTCAATGAGAGCTTTATATGGTACAGAAGGAGTAAGAAATGCTTGTCATGGTAGTGATGCTCGTAAGTTATTAATTTTATAATTATATAGCTGGATCAGCATAAAGAGAATTAGATTTCTTTTTCTCTGATAAATCTAATCTAAAATCAACTGCTGTATTTAATAATTGTACTTGTGCCATTATAAAACCACATATTGTATTAGAAGGAAGAGCTGGATAAATTATTGATATTATATTAAGTGAAGGTTTTGAAATATCAGCAATGCAAATGTTCTATTTAGATAGAGCTACTAGTGAAGAATTCTTTGAAGTCTATAAAGTATAAATAACATATTCAAATATTTAGGGTGTTTTACCTGAATTTTAAGCTATGTCAGAACATTTAACATCTGGACCTTGTATAGCTATGGAAATTAGATAAGAAAATGCTGTAAACATTAATTGTAATTATTAGGTCAAAGCATTTAGGGATTTATGTGGACCACATGATCCAGAAATAGCTAAAACTTTAAGACCTTAAACAATTAGAGCTAAATTTGGAATTGATAGAGTTAAAAATGCTATACATTGTACTGATCTTCCAGAAGATGGCATACTAGAGGTGGAATATTTCTTTAATATTTTACAATAAAAATGAAATCATATGGATATTAATATATCATTTATAATTGATTATTTAAAAATCATATTTATATGTATCTTATTTTTAAGAAAATTTAATTTTTAAGGGCAATATTAATTTATATTTTATTATATCATCAGTTTTCATTTTTTTAATTTATTTACACATTCATCAATTTCAGCAATATATTATTTAAATTTCTCCCAATTATCGAGTTGCAATGTTATTCCTTTCTTAGTTGGTAAAGACTAACCATCCTTATTAAAATACTCTCTTATACTTATCATCACATTGCCTTTGAACTTAGAAACAGATACTTTTTTTAAAGAAGTTAACTTAAAATTTAGTAAAAAATATCAGTATTACTTCAAAAAAATACTGCCCATCTTCGAATGTGTAGTTACTCTATTTGTTCTTTTAAACTTATAACTATTTAACACTAGAAGATTATTTAACATAATTGTCTTCTTCAGATGATGAACGATCTCTCATCTATTTCATTAATTAAGATTTTAAATATAATGTATTATCCTTAGTCCTTTTATCCTTAAGTATATCCATAATATAGGTATTAACCCTATGGTGTACGTCCATAAGTACCATAGTAATGGAGACCACCTATTTATAATGCTCCATAATATCCATATCCAGGATTAAGAATACCCCCGCCAACTTATCCATACAATCCATACACTTCATCTATCATACCACCTACATACCAGCCACAACCAATGTTAAGCTAAATTATGGCTTCCCCATAACGATAATTCTAATCACCAGATCGTTTGAAAGGAGCATAGTCCCCATCCAGAAATATGTTGATGCAATCTCAACAAGTCCCTAAATCACCTGCTCCATAGTTGCAATCCCCAAATAGATAATATCTTACATACGAATAAGTATAAGAACGTATACGCAATGCCTAAATGCAGCAACCTTAAGCACCTTAAAATCAAAAATAATGTTTATTGTATATCAATTACATTAGATACACCATAACCTTAGCCAAATTAATAAAAATAACAACCAGCAGCTTCTAAATAAAAATAATAGCCAACCTAACCACCTAAAAAAGAAGATGATTTAGATAAGAGATATTAAAATGCTCTCAAAAGTACAGAAGAAATCATTAAGAAGTATCAAGCAGATGATTCCGGTAGTAAAGGTCGTTAAACTAATCAAGAAAATCAAGAAGCAGAGGATGGTGAACTCTAAGGTATAATTTAAATATATTTTTAGAGTTGGCATTGTAATATGAAGATGGCTTTATTTATAGAGGATAAGGTTATCCACCATAGACTAGAAGTGGATTTGGTATTTTAACAGATTCTGAAGGACAATAAATATATGCTGGATATTGGAAAGAAAACTTATATGATGGATAAGGAAGATTGACAAATCTTCAAACAGAGGAAATAACAGAACCAATTGATTGGAATAATATGACAACTATTGGTAATGGATGGGCATCTTATGAAGGTAAAAATATATTTAATATTCAATAGGAAACTTTTATTAAGGGAAGATGCATGGATAAGGAACATTGATTTTAACAAATAAAGAATAATATTTTGGAGAATTTGAAGATGGAATGATACATGGTGAAGGTGAATTCACAAATCTTGATGGATAAGTCATCAAAGGTAAATGGGACTAGGGATACTTAATTTAATTATCTGAATAAGATTGAATCATTAAAATAAATTTTACATATATATAAATTCATTACATCAAGCTCTCTTTTTTTTTTCATAATTAAAATAGAAATATTTATTAATTATAAAGTTAAGGTGTTTCAATATCATATTTAAATATAATTATATAATATCTACAATTTCTTTTCCTCTAAATTTTTTATTTTTACAATAATCAATACAATTATCATTTTTATATGAATAAATTTTAAGGCTTTATACATTAATTATTTTAATTATTATGATCGAAATTGATTATAAACGAATTCCTTAATGGTTATAGGAAAGAAATAAATTAAATTAGGAATGGTCAAAAAAATATAAAGCTCTACAATTAAAACAATTAGAAATTTTAGGTGAAAGCAAAAGTACATACACATTTCAAGATTGTTCTGAAGAATTAGAAAAATTAAAGAACTCAGATGAAGGGGCTCAAAAAACGATTTTTGGAGGTTTCTCATCTAAATCTATAAAAACTATGGAGAATTTACTTAAACTCTATCAAAAAGAAAATCTACACCTAATTAATATGGGTTAGGCTCTAGTATAAGTTTTAACATATGACATGTAAATTTTTACTTAATTTAAGACCAGGAATTAAAAAGTAATTAATATTGAATGATTAATAATTATAATCAACAGAATAAAGGATTATTGATTCTCAAGTTTAAATATAAAATCATAAGTTATAATTTGAAAAACAATGTAAGAAGCATGGAATTGAAGGTTAAAATATAGAGGAAGAAGTTCCAAATATGATACTATAAATTCCACCTTTGTTTTAAGAAATTGAATAATTAGCCTTAAATAATTAAACGATATTAAATAGCATTGAATATTACAGATAATTTTCTATTTACACTAATCCTTCTTTAGATAAATCAAGCATAGTTACACATTTAGAATCTTTTGTATTGAAAGGTAATTAAAAACCATTAGACTGGGAAATTATTGAAGCTCCAAAAACAGAAGAGATTGATTGGATGAAATATATATAACCTTAGCAAGTCAATATACCTGATAGTGAACTATTGAATACATAATTTAGAAGCAATCTTATAATAAATTTAAATGAAGTAATAATAATAATAATAATTTAGTTAATTGGATTTTATTCAGCAAGATTGGAATAATTAAAATAAGATTAATCAATAGTTAATTTTGATGCTTAAAATAAATTATTTGAATTATCATCATAAGAATTGTAAAATTATTTGAATATCTTACATTAATTATTAGATAAATTGATTAGTCCTTGGCTTAGATAACTTTTACAATTGAAATCATCTGTTAAGTAAATAATTATATTAATTATAGAACTCAATAAAGAATTATTAAAAATTTAGAAGAATTTGCTATTTCAATAAAAAAGAGTGAATCAAACATTATTCATTCATAAAATAAAATAGCTGATTTGAAATCTGAATAATTTAAATTATAGAATCAATTAAGAGATTTACAAAGTTAGGTTAGAAAGATGAAATAATTTACAGAGAAACAATTCACAGATTTATTTAAAACAGAAATCAAATTGATTGGATGTGATTGTTGATAATATAATACAGATATCAATTTTACCATTAAATTTCATGTGGTCTATTTTTAAAAGGATCTTGACTGAGAGTGATAGCATAAGTTTCTTTCACATTATTCAAATAGATTTGGCCTTAAATTAATTTTAAATATATTAGATTGGCTATTATGCAACATACTTCAGATATAGTAGGGTTGCTATTCAGAGGATGTGATATTCGAAATGCCTGATTTATTATATAGTAATTAAAGTACTTTTTAAAATTGATTCAAATGTATTTTATTCACCTTTTAATTAATTAACCATACTTTTCTACATAAATTCCTATAACAAAGCACTTTTAATTGATCCATTAATATTAATAGACTTCTTTTAATCCAAATTAATCTATATTTATCTATTGCTTCTTATAATCCTGCAATATTTCCTTATTTTACACTTGTACATAATAAATCATATTCTTTAAATTATTCAATCAATTCTTTTTTTGGATATCTTCCCATAAACATATTAATAGGAATTAAATATTTTAAGACTTATCTAGCACATGATATTCCTTTTTATGTTCTTGGACATTCTTATAAAACTTAAGTTAAATGTTATTATGCATCTACAAATTTAGAATGAAAGATAAGAATTCTACCTTTATAATAATGATAAGTAACTTAATCTTATTTAGGTGATGTAAAAAGTAAATTTTATTCTTTTTCAACTTTATCACAATCAGCAGCTCTATCAAATTTAAAACCTTTAAAATATATCTTCATTTATTAATTAGCATTTAATAATTTAAGTTTTTACATATTCTTAATATTGACTTCTCTTCCCATTTCTTAAAATATTTATAAACTTTTGCTTTCAAGAGTCTCTTAAGCATGAGATGCCCTTTTTACTGCTTCAGAATCTTTTGCTTTTCTTTTCATTATTTATACAATCTTATATTGTTCAGTAACAACCTGTTTACATAAAAATTAATATATTTAAGAATGTTATTCATCTAAAAGCCATTTAGTATTTTTAAAAAGATTTTCAAAATGATCTATAACATTAGCACTTCCTCTTTCTTTTTCTACATAATATAAGAGTAAATTGCATAATAAATCAACCCATCCAGGATGACTTAAACGAGCATTTTCATTTAATTTTTTACATGCTTCTGAATCATTTTCTAATCTTAATTGTTTTAATGTTTATTCTATATCTAATCCTAATAAACTTTATTCTTTTCCAGAAAATATACGTTTCAAACAACTCATTGCTTCTAAACATTTCCCTTCACGAAAATACCTTAAAATTATGAGTAGTATATTTTCCGATTTTTTTGCAATCATATATTTTATTTAATTAATGGCTGACAAAATTAGGTACACTTTAGAAAAGTTTATTCCTGATCTCTTGGCTCTCTAAAAAAAGCAGGTATTCTCTAAGGATGAAGTCAAAGACATTCTCCATAAAAGGGAAGAATTCGAATACATGTTATAGCGTAGAACACACAATTTAAGCAATTATATGTAATTACTTGACTATGAATATGGGTTGGAAAGACTTAGAAGATAAAGAAATAAGGAACGTTAAATAAAGAAGGTTACTACAAGGGATTATGCTATAGTGAAAAGAATTATTTATATTTGGGATAGGATAATGAATAAATATCGATACAATATCGATTTATGGAAACAATATTTAAGTTTTTGTTATATCATTGAATCAAAGAAACATTTCTTCAAGGTTATTACTAAAGCTTTGAATTTTAATCCATATAATACTGATCTATGGTTAGCAGGTGCTCTCTTTGAATTAGAAAAAGCTCATAATCCAATTAAAGCAAGAAAAATATTTTACTAAGCTTTAAGAATTAACAATAAAAATATAGATTTATGGGGAAGTTATTTAGATTTCGAATTGAATCAATTATAAATTGGATAAGAATAGAATGATGAAATCAAAAATATAGATGGATTTTTACCATTAAATACAGTAGAACCAATAACACAAATTAAATCAAAAAAGCTTGATGGAATTAAATAAATTATATAATTAGCAATTGAAAATTGTGATAATTCTGAATTAAGAAAGTAATTCAAAAATATTTTACTTAAACATAATTAAAATGAATTAGCTGAAGAAATTAGTTAAACATAATAATTAGATAATTCAGAATAAATAATAAAATTCTTAATAGAAAATTAAAATGATCTTGAAGTTTTTGATAAATTAAAAGAGTTAAATATTGATTACAAAAATGAATTATTATAATTATTTAAAGAAAAAGCAAATACTTTGGATACTTTTTGGTCACTCGCTTTTTAATAACCAGAATTATAATCAATTCTATTAACAGAAATAAAAAATAAACCTATAAAATTTAAAATTTAACTTGTTTAGAAAGGTTATTTATCTATTGAATAAATAAATATATAAGAAATTTCTAAATTAAAAAATAAAAAAGATTTACTTGAAATATTACTATTATTAGTACATTTATACAAAAAAGAGTTTTCATTAGATATTGCCAAATAAAATCTTTTAGGATAAACTGAATTATTTGAGACCTTCCTAGATGAATATTATCCTTTATTAAATAATGAAGAATAATAATAACTTCTTAATTGGTTGGAAAAGCAGAAATAATTTTGCCCTTTAAAATATCATAAATTAAGAAAATTAGATTTTGTATAATTAATTAAATTGACAGAATATCATCCAAATGTAGATACATGGAAATTTGTATTAGAATAAACAAAATAATAATTTCCATAAAAGATTACTCAAATTATGACTAGTATATAATTTTTAGATCCTTAAATAAGAAATCAATTGTTAAAATGATTGTGTTAATCTGTTTTTATGTATAAAAATTTAGAAATATGTTATTTATAAATTATTTTAAAATCAAAGCGACCATCATCATCATTTTATATATTTAATTTTATTAGCTAAATATTAAGGAATTTTAATTCCATTTCTTGGAGTTCTAAGGCTATCTCTTAAATGAGAACTAAAATAGAGTTCTGCTCTAGAATATTTAGGTGTTCTTATTTTTTTTGGTAAATCAAAAATATTGTGATTCAATTATTCATTTGCTTTTTTAAATACATCTTATTTTATGCTAGGACATCTTTAATTTTCTCTTCTTGAAATAATTAAAGATCTTATTTATTGTTATCGTTCATCATTTCTACTAGGAGATGAAAATCTTGTACATCCTCTACTTCTATTACTTTCCTAATAATTCATTTCTATTGACTAATTTTATTCCTTATAAACTATTTTTTTGGACTAATTCAATTTGACTATTTTTTACAAGCATTTATGCCATAATTATAGGATTGTTTTTTATTTTTTTAGGTTTTATAGTGCAAGGCATTGCTTTATAAAATTTATCAGTATGAGTATTTTGATATATTTCAAGTTCATTTTAGCTTTCTAAGCATTCATGAAATTTCCTAAATAGGGCAGTATCATATAATTCACTTTTTTATTAGTCCATAAATATTAACAGTATTAATATGTTTACATTTTTTTATATTTTCCTTTAAGTTATAATCTATATATGTATCATTTATGAAATATTTCCTAAATTTATAATAATGTTAGTTTAAAATGGTTTGCCTAATATCTATATTTATTATATTTTTATTTAAGGAAAATATAGAGATAACAAGAATTATGAGTAAATTCTATTATCTTATTCTCAAAGAAATTATTGTAATCTAAATGATTTAATTCATTTCATGATAAAAATTGATTCAAATTTTTAAAATAATAAATGGCAAAAGTTGCTAATGATTTGTTTATAAAATAGCAAACTAAACTATATATTAAATTTATTATTACTAATTATTTCAATTAAGAATACATTTTTATTATAAATAAGTATTAAATAGTAATTTTCTAATAGACTTTTATTAAATATTCAAATTTAAAGTAGAATTATCAGCTAAAATAATCTAATAATAAATAATTGAATTAAAATATAATAGTTTAACATATCCTTTTAATTTTTGATTTACTTAAACAGATTTTTTGATAAAGTTTCACAATAAATGATTAATTCTTTAAGATGATCTTATCAATATAAAAATACTTAAATAAAAAGTACTTTTTTAAAGAAAATATCTTAAATATTAATTAATTATTCTAATTTTGAATCAATAAACAACCTGAATAAAGAATTAAAAAAACGATTAGACAATAAAAAAGAAAATAAAAGCAATATAGTTTAAATTTAAAATTCCCACCCAACTATCAACATAACATTAATAAATTTGTCCCAACTAAGCCCTTTTTTTATATTAAGAAAGATTTGATAAATTTTAATGATTAGTGGAACTATTGTTAATTTGCTAATAGTCTTAATTAATTAAATAAATAAAATTTCATCAAAAAATATGATTTCATATCTAATAGAAAACTAGTAGCTAGTAGTGTGTTATAATTTAAATCAATTCATAAGTTTACAGATTTTTACATAAATTTGAAATTATTTTTTTTAAATAGAAAAATTATCAATTCTGATATATAAAATCCAATTCATTATTCACAAATAAACTAACTTTGAATTCCTAAATTAAGAAATAATATTACTAGTTTAATTTCTTCAAATGATANGATATATTTCAAGTTCATTTTAGCTTTCTAAGCATTCATGAAATTTCCTAAATAGGGCAGTATCATATAATTCACTTTTTTATTAGTCCATAAATATTAACAGTATTAATATGTTTACATTTTTTTATATTTTCCTTTAAGTTATAATCTATATATGTATCATTTATGAAATATTTCCTAAATTTATAATAATGTTAGTTTAAAATGGTTTGCCTAATATCTATATTTATTATATTTTTATTTAAGGAAAATATAGAGATAACAAGAATTATGAGTAAATTCTATTATCTTATTCTCAAAGAAATTATTGTAATCTAAATGATTTAATTCATTTCATGATAAAAATTGATTCAAATTTTTAAAATAATAAATGGCAAAAGTTGCTAATGATTTGTTTATAAAATAGC